TACCTGGCACTTTTCCCTCAGGATGTGTGTGTGCTCAGGTCTCTTCTACATTCCGTCTGCCTCCAGTTACCATACATCACCTTGAACTACCACAGTTGAGCTGTGAAAAAGTAGTAGTCTACACACAGTGTCCCCACTTCCTTGCTAGCCTATTCACTACTGGTTTTCCTCCTGACAGTCTGAGAAGCCCTTCCCGGGCTCCTTTGCAGGCTCTTCTTCCAGAGTTTATTTCTCCAGCTTCTCACCACAAATCCCAGTGAATTGCTTTCAGTGTTTCCAAACTTCTGTGCCTTTGCACGTGCTCTCACCTCTGCCTGGAACATCTTTCTCCTTTTACATCTCTATACTCCTACACCTTTCTTCAAGACTAGGGTCAGCTTTCAGCATCAATGGAGCCTTTGCCTAAGCCACCAGAATGAGTTTGGTTGCCTTTTCATTTTCTTCTGTCACCCTCTGCTTCTTTTTGCTCTTCTACACACATTACATGTAATACCTCATTTAATCCCTACAACAACTGTTTGAGGCCAGTGCTATTGTTATTCCAGTTATACAGATGAGAAAACAGAGGCCCAGATACATTAAGTAACTTTATTCAAAGTTATAGAGTGATTAAATGAAAAGTCTAGGTTTGAATCCAGGCAGTCCAATTCTAGAGACCATATCTTGAACACCTACCCCACTCCATGCTCCACCCTTAGCCTCTGAGCTTGTTGAATGAATGAACAAGTGGTAATCTTTTTTCTCTGCCAATGCAGCATAAACCTAAATAAGGCCATGACATTCTCAGGGAAGAAGAAAAGTAAGTTTGGGGGTGATAATAAGAATAACCAACAAACTTTAAAATTTACAAAAGCTCTTTGACATACATCTTCTTATTTTATCAACTCATGAAATATATTATGATTCCATCTTACACACGGAAAAGAGCTGAGACTGGCATAACCAGCACTGGCATCTTGGGCTTTATATTTTATTTCTTCTGAAGTTTTGCCCCTTAGGTCTGAGATAATATGGAAGGGTAAATTGGGAGTGTGGTAGGTTCTTTAAGAGAAAAACTAGGAAAGCTTTCACACTATTATTAACTACATTTTATGCAAGATTTCTAATGGAGTATTGGGTCAATTTCCAGAACAAAGGGGCCACACCCAAGGATACCATAATCTTTTGAAAACTCTACTGCAAGTGCTAGAGCTAGTAGTAGACACATGTCTAAAACCTGTTCTTGGGAGAAGCCAACCTCCATGTCTGCATATAATGCACCCAAGGGATATTTTTATATGGTTCCATCAGCCATCAATGTCCTTTAACAACAGTCTGATGTATTGCATAAGGTTAAAACAGTTCTTTTTTTTTTTTTTTTTGGTGAGGGAGATTGGCCATGAGCTAACATGTGTGCCCATTTTCCTCTATTTTGTATATGGGATGCTGTCACAGGACGGCTTGATGAGCAGTGCATAGGTCCGCTCCCGGGATCTGAACCTCTGAACCCCAGGCCACCAGGGCAGAGCGTGGAAACTTAACCACTACGCCACCAGGCCAGCCCCTAAAGAGTTCTTGATATAGGAATCCATAGTTGAGTTTTAGACGAATTTCTGAATTCCCTGTAAGTTATATTCAGAAATGCATGTGCAAGGAAACACACTTTTTTTAAAAAAATTATTGCATACTTTGTTTTTTGAGGAGAGGGTCTACAGCTTTCAACAGATTCTCAAAGGGGCCTACTCCCCCTGCCCCAAGATTAAGAACCATTATTTTAGTGATGGAAACTAATTTTGATCTTGGTCTAAAAGCCAGACATATTACAAGGGAAATCTGTTCCCTCCCTCCCATCAATACCTTAAGCTACATTGAAAGAATTTTATGTTCTCTACCACAGTTTGAATTTTCCATACCATTGTTGTCCAAATAATTGAGAGGTACCTGGAGGAAAATATAGATAGCACAGTAATGCACAGTGGATTTTTATAACAGATTTGACATCCCACCTGTTTTAATTGGCATCATTTTAAAAGCAATTGAAAGTACAGTCAGGTATTCTGGGTCTTCAAGAGATGTTAACCAGGAATTGAAACATAACTTTTAAATAGAGCTGGGTTATCTAGTAGGCAGATTAAGCATATCCTTAAGGCATCAGCAAAGCCTGAGTAATTCAATTTTTTAAAAAAATCTATATTTTTTTAAAAGTGTAAAAGTAATAACCATGGGAAAAATTAGAACCTTGTTGGATTTTCTTTCACTTGTTATGCTCTTAGTTCTGTTTAACTTTTCATTACATACGAGGGTGGTGGAGGGTGTCTATCATCTTTTCAGTGATTCAGGTCTTCTTGGGCTTCCCTTTTATATACTATTGATAATTCTATCAAAAGCATGTTCTTCTCTGTGCCTCACAACAAGGTTGCAAGCGAACCCTCAAAATGGATAATTTAAGAGCTAACTGGTATTAGCTTAGGATGTGTGGCACTGTTTTAAATGCTTATATGTACATCAATTCATTTAAAACTCACAACAGCCCTATGAAGTAGGGACCACTCAGCCCCCTATTTTATAACTAAGAAAATGGTAAGATTTTTCCAGTAGGAAGGAGAGGTGTAGGGGGAGGGAGAGGAGCAGCCCCAGGACAGTGTGTGAGCCTGGTCTCTGAATCACTATGCAACTCTGTCTCTAGAGTGCTAAGCACTTTTTCTGATCTAGGAGGGATTATTTATTAAGAACGGAGTCTAGGGAGCCGGCCCCATGGCGTACTGGTTAAGTCCAGTGCACTCTGCTTTGGCAGCCTGGGTTCAGTTCCCAGGCACAGACCTACACCACTTGTCAAGCCATGCTGTGGTGGCCACCCACATAGAAAACAGAGGAAGACTGGCACAGACATTAGCTTAGGGCTAATCTTCCTCAAGCAAAAAAAGAAGCTTGGCAACAGATGTTAGCTCAGAGCGACTCTTCCTAGCCAAAAAAAAAAAAAAAAAAAGAATGGAGTCTATCTGAAAGTAAGACCAGAAACTATAAAACTCCTGGAAGAAAACATAGGCAGTAAGCTCCTTGACATTACCCTTGGAAATTTTTTTTTTGGATCTGATTCCAAAGGCAATGGCAACAAAAGCAAAAATAAATAAGTGGGACTACATCACACTAAAAAGCTTCTGCACAGTGAAAGAAACCATCAACAAGATAAAAAGGCAACCTACTAAATGGCAGAGGATATTTGCAAATCATATATCCAATAAGGGGTTAATATCCAAAATATATAAAGAACTCATATAACTCTATAACAAAAAAAATCACACAATCTGATTTAAAAATGGCCAGAGAACTTGAATAGACATTTTTCTAAAGAAGACATACCCATGGCCAATAGGCTAAACATCACTAATCATCAGGGAAATGCAATCACAACCACAAGGAGATACCACCTCACACCTGTCAGAATGGCTATTATCAAAAATGACAAGTGTTGGTGAGGATGTGGAGAAAAGGGAACCCTCAGGCACTGTTGGTAGGAATGTAAATGGTGCAGCCACTTTGGAAGAGTATGGAGATTCCTCAAAAAATTAAAAATAGAACTACCATATGATCCAGCAATTCCACTTCTGGGTATTCATCCAAAGAAAATGAAAGCAGTAATTCAAAAAGATATATGCACCCCTATGTTCATTGCAACATTATTTACAACAGCCAAGATGTTAAAACAACCTAAGAGCCCATCCACCAATGAATGGATAAAGAAGATGTGGTGTATATAGATATATACACATGAAACACTACTCAGCCATAAAAAAGAATGAAATCTTGCCATTTGCAACAACCTGGATGGACCTTGAGGGTATTGTGCTAAGTGAAGTAAGTCAGAGACAGACAAATACTGTATGAGTTCACCTATATGTGGAGTATAAAAAAAAAATACAAAACTCAGAGAACAGATTGGTGATCTCCACAGAGGTGGGAGGCTTGAGACTGGACAAAATGGGTGAAGGAGACCAAGAGATACAAATTTCCAGTTATAAAATACATAACTCATGGGGATGTAATGTACAGTGTGGTGACTATAGTCAATAATATTGTAATATTGCAAATTTAAAAGTTGCTAAGAACGTGAATCTTTAAAATTCATATCACAAGAAAAAAATTTTATAATTTTACATAATAACAGATGGTAACTAGACTTATTGTGGTGATCATTTCGCAGTGTATACAAATATCGAATCATTATGTTGTACACCTAAGACTAATATAATGTATGTTAGTTATACTTCAAAAAAAAAAGCAAATGGAGTCTACCAGTCCAATGACCCCTTTGCCACTTTCCTATCTGCTTATAGGCAGAAATCTCCACCATCCCTGTTGAATAGACCTCATCTTCTGGGGGTCAGCCCTTATACCAGGCACTAGTACCAGGCATTGCGCAAGTCTGGGAGACTCTCGCCCCCGACATCCGTTTTACACGTGTGTGGGGGGTGGGGGCCAGGGGAAAGGCTGGCAGGCGGGCAGATTCTCCAAAATGAACGTTTGAATTAGGATTTCTGGCATTGTGGACCCAGCAGGAGAAAGCCAAGTGCTGAGTGGTGGAGAAGCGAGCATGTCCTCTAAAAGAAGGGAAGCCTCATAGTCATACCGTGATACCGACCCTCAGCCGTTTCTTCTGATTAAAAGAGGAAGCAATACTTTGCCTATACTTCAAACACCCTGGTTCGAACATGGCAGTTAGGAATCCTGTGCAGCTTTCTAATGCCAGGGGGTTGTACAGGGGAGGAAGGAAACGAGGGAGAATCTGCGCCTTATGAAGTGAACTCGCTCGAGCCCCGTGTGCGCCTGTGCTGGAGTGGGGAGCGCGGCGCCGGGAGGAGGGGCGCGGGGACGCGGCAGAGGCAGGTGGGGAGGGGCCCCGGGCGCCCTGCCCCCTCCGCTTCTTCGGGCTGCTGGCACGGATTGCTTCCGGCCGGTGCCCCCGGGCGAGCTGCCCACCGGTGACGGCAGAGGCCCCGCGCGGGTCGACTTCAGGGGATGTGACATCTGCAGCGTGTTCCGAGCCCAGGGCGCCTCCTCGGAGAACACTTGAACGCGCTCCCGCCGGGGGAGTCGAGGGGCAGAGTCGGGGGCTGGCGGAAGGCGGAGGCAAGAGGAGGGGCCGGCTGGTCACGAGAGGCTGGGGCGGGCCGGTGGCGCTCGGCGGCGGCGGGAGGGAGGGAGAAAGCGAGGGGCGAGCCTTGGGGAGCAGCATGGAGTCCTCCGCCGACAGGTTGGCCACCGCCGCCGCCCGGGGTCGGGCCGAGGAGGTGCGGGCGCTGCTCGAGGCGGGGGCGCCACCCAACGCGCTCAACCTTCACGGTCGGAGCCCGATTCAGGTGAGTCGGCGGGAGGAGGGGATGGGGGCGGCTATAGAGGACGAGGTTTGCAAAGGAGTCGGAGCCAGGTAAGCGCTTCGATTCTCGGTAAAGGGGAGACTTCCTGGAGAGTTTTCAGATGGAGTTTGGAGTCGGAGACCTCCTCTTGGCGACGCCCCGGGGGCTCAGGGAGCCACGGGAGAAATGAGGAGGCACGTGGAGTGCAGATCTCTAGACTGGACTGTAGATTTGGAGGGGAGAGCCTATTTGTGTTAATATAGACGGAGATGTGTTCTTTGTCAGACAAAATGTACGAACGTTTGAAATAAAACGCAAGATTTTAAAGAAATCTAAGATTTGCTGAGACTACTTTGCTCGGAACTCACAGAGTCCTCAATGGAGCCTACCATCTTTCTTGCGAGGGGAGATTTCAGTGGAAATCTACTACTGTATATGTTGGAATAAATGTCCATTGGAATTATTCAGAAGCAACTACATATTGTATTTATTATTTTAACTGAGTAAGGAAAACATATGCTTGTGAGAAACTAGGAATTACAGACAGATATATATGAAGAAAAACATTAGTGTGACCTAGCCTGAAATGATATCAATTTAATTACCATTTTGGGGGTATCTCCTATTATTTTTGCTATTTTTAGCTTACTTGATATAGATTAACATATTTGGGGTAGAGTTTTCAATTCCTCATTTTTGAGAAATGCCTTTTTTCTCCTCCCTACCCTAGTTTTGTGTGTGTGTGTGTTGGGGGGAGGGGGATTGTGTGTTCTTGGTTGTTGTTTGCCTTCACTAGCTTCCTAAATTTCAGACTAAAAACGAATTCTTCCTGGCAGTCGCCACCCTAGTTTTATTCTTGGTGTCGACAGTGATTTCTGATTCTGAAAAATAAATTTATAGGAAACAAATGCACGTTGCAAAAACTCCAGCATAACAAGACAAAGGAAAGTAATTCTATTTGGAATTTCACAAATTTCACAAGCGAATCTTCCTGTCCTAACTCTATGCTACATAGGATAAATTCCATACACTTTAAAATACAGAAATAAAAAACAAAACCAAAATGCCTTAAAACTTGAGGTTGTTTGAGATTTGAAGTGTGGAGAGATGTTGAGACTAGAGAGGTTGCGTGAGGGTAGAAGTGAGGCATGAGTCCTTTAAAAATAAGGCACACATGATTCTTAATTTGATATCTCTAAAATTTTGCCAGCGCCTTGGAGACTGGGAGTTTGGCCTTGCAGTTCTAGAATATGTTAGAAGAGACTTTATTTGTTTACATACAAAAAGAAAAAAGGAAGTTGGATAATTAGTTTTCACAATTTTTTAAATAGGGAAGATAAGAGCATAGAGAAAAGGGGACATGATTTTGGTTTAGAACACTAACCAAATTTGTGTTTAATATAAAAGTACTTAGTTTATAGAAATTACTAGTGAATTTTATTCTATTTTATTAACAGGTTATTTTAAATTATTAAATTAAATTTAATGTCTTATCAAATAGATTTAAGCACTCTACAAATATTCATTTAATTGATTCATTTTCTTTTTTGCTTTGGACTGCTATTATTATTATTTAAATATTAGGTTACTTTTCAGACTTTTTTTTTTCAATTATTTTATTGATGTCATAATGGTTTATAATGTGCTATTTCTTAGTTTTTAATACTGTAAAACATAATAAAAACTTTTAAAACCAGTTTTATGACCAAGATGAAGGACTTCATTGTATAAATTTTTTTTTATCCAATTTTCATTATATTTTCACCTGCATTGTATACAGATATGGAGATTGACCTCTTCCAAGAACAGGTTTTAGACAAGTATATACTAGCTCTGCCACTTGTAGTAGAGCTCCCAAAAGATTACTCACTCCATAATCTATTAGAAATCTTGTGTAAATAAGTAGTTAATAATAGTGTGAAAACTTTCCCAGTTTTTCTTTTAAAACAGTGCATTGTTCTAATGCACTACAATAGTTTTTCTTTCTTTCTGTAGCTGTAATTTAGTTCATTTACGTCTTCTCTCTGTCTTTTTGAAAATTAAATCAGTTTCACTTTCTCCAGGACAAGAATCAACGGCCATAGTATAATTTATTATGATTCCTTGCTTTCAACAAATTAAGCAATTCGTATTTAATACAGAATGAAACTAAAAATAAGTACTCTCTCTTTATACAGTCACTATTGTACAGCTAGTATAACCAAATAATGGTTACCCTAAAAAAAAATTTTCTACCACCACCACCCACCATGCAACACTTAGATTGCAAGGTTGCTGTGGACACTATTTAAAAATTCCTCTTTGGTAATGGCTTTGTGTCAGAGATAATTTAGCAACTAAATGAGGTGAGCACCTCCAGTTTAATGAACTTCCAAGGTGTAAACTTTAGAAATGTCTTAATTTCCTATTTCTGCTGTAACAAATTACCACAAATTTAGTGGCTTAAACCAACATAAATTTATTACCTTACAGTTCTGGAGGTCAGAAGTCTAAAATGGATCCATAGGGCTGCATTCCTTTTGGAAGTTCTAAGGGAGAATCCATTTCCTTGCCTTTTCCAACTTTTAGTAACTGTCAACATTCCTTGGCTAATGGCCCCTGCATCTTCTTTCTGACCTCTGCTTCTATTCTTATATCTTCTCTCTGACTGTGACCTTCTTATAAGAAGATTTGTGATTACATTGGGCTCATCCTGACAATCCAGGTTAATCTCCCTCAAAATCCTTAATTTAATCATATCTGCAAAGTCCCTTTTGCCATGTAAGGTAATATATTCATAGTTTTTGAGTATTAGGAAGTAGATATCTTTGGGGGGGCATTATTTAGCTTACCATAGGAAGGAATTTGGGGGCTGGTTACACAGACCTTCTCATTTTATACTTGAAAAAATTGAATTTTAACATTCCAGGAAGCTAAGAATAGCTTAAAAGTTTTGCAAGAATTAACATTTTGGTGTTCTGGGGTTTTTAAATTTTTATTTTCACTTTTTAACAATTTCCACATTCTGGGCTTGGATATACAGCAGTGGACCATACAAAATCTCTAGGCCTTACATAATTTCATATCAAAATGAGGGGGAAATACAGGAGGTTAGGCTGTAGCAAAAGCCAGTTTGTCCCTCACACCTTTGCTGTTGTGATGCCCCTGGCAGTGTTCTGTGTGTGGCTGAACTCCTTCCGAAGAAGGTTGGAGAATATAATGGAATTCAATGTAATGTGTAGAGAAAATGGAATGGGTAGGAGAACTGGCTACGTGAGTTGGTAACTGAAAGCAAATAAAGAGGAACTAGACACCTGTGGATTGTACCGGTGTCTGCGCGGGGTGGGGGCTTCACAAATCATTTCTTTATATTCGTCCTGCCCCTGCCACGTGCCCTCGCCCTGACCACGCTGCTCTCCCCCGCAGGTCATGATGATGGGCAGCGCCCGCGTGGCCGAGCTGCTGCTGCTCCACGGCGCGGACCCCAACCGCGCGGACCCCGCCACCCTCACCCGACCCGTGCACGACGCGGCCCGGGAGGGCTTCCTGGACACGCTGGTGGCGCTGCACCGAGCCGGGGCGCGGCTGGACGTGCGCGACGCCTGGAGCCGCCTGCCCGTGGACCTGGCTGAGGAGCGGGGCCACCGCGACGTCGCCCGGTACCTGCGCGCGGCCACAGGGGGCACCGAAGGCGGCAGCCAGGCCCGTACCAACGCCGCGGAAGGTACCGGAGGTGAGGTGGCCGTTCTAAGAATTTGAACCCAGAGAGCTTCCGAAGCCCAGCGCACTTCTTCCCAGAAGAGAACTTTGGCTCCGGGAGAGCGGGGCCTTGGCTCTCGCCTCCGCTCACACATGGTCAACCAGTGGGACAGCCCCAGTCTCCCGATCGGGCTGCCTCGCCAGGGCTGCGGGCGGGAAATAGCCTGAGATGGACTTCCGCACGCTAAAACTCATCCCATAAACCGTGCCCCCGCCCCCTAAACACTCACCCTCTCCGCGGCTCAAGGCCTAGACTGCGGAGCATTGAAGACTCGAGGCTAGAGGTCTAGTGGCCCCTCTTCCTCCCAACTAGCTCCCTAACCGCGTCCACTCTGCGACCCTTAGTTTCCCCATTAGCTTACGTAGGTCGCTGGACCAACCCTGCGATTTCCAAAACCGCGTGCGCGTGGCATCGTCTGGCAGAGATCTGGCATTCCCCGCTCTATTGCAAAATTCTACTAAATCCAACTCTCCGCTCTATGCGGTGGAGTTTTCCAGAGCTCCCCCAAGGGGTTCTGAGGTCAACTAGGATGGAGACCTCTCCAATGCTCGCAGTCTGCACACCAGGATTTGCTGCATGCTCCGGGAAACAGAGACCCTCTCTTAAGCTTTTCCCTCTCTTAAGTTTTCTGTTTCTTCGAGAGAGATCGCTGAGACAGGGAGATGGATATGTGGTCTTTCTTGCTTCTACTTCTACGATCACAAGGCCTTCTTTTCCCCACCTCCACTCCTGCTTGCCTAAAGTACCAACTTGACTGTTTTCTCCTGAAGGGGCAACCATTTTATGATCAATCTATATATATGAAGCAATATACGAAATTAACACGAATATTTAAGATAAACCATGACTTTGAAGATACTGAAATCTATCTTACTTTGGCTGAGAACTGGGGCACTAGGCTCGCTTGGCCTTAGGGGATCCTGGGAGGACAGAGTACAGAGACTCGCTCTAGGCACCCGGCTGCGAGATGCCGTGAGTGCCGCGCCCTCCGTCTGAGAAGCGCGGAGGTCTCCTTTAGCCCGCCCACCCTCTCTCCTCCAATTGCAGCTTGCGTCCGGGACGCGGCATAGGACGAGGGGCCAATCACAGGGCTGCTGGGCGGAGCAAGAACTGGGAAGAGCCCAAGAGGAGGATTAGATGACTGAACTGGGCCACAGGCAAATGAATAAATTGAGTAACCTTTATAACCAAACCTAAGATATTTAACCGAAGCACACATGTCCGTCCGTCCTTCCGTCCTTCCTTCCTTCCTTCCTTCTTCCCTTCGTCCCTTCGTCCCTTCCTTCTCTTTAGTTTAGATCCTACTACGCGATCAGCCCGGTTCTAGGTAGGACACAAGCGTGAAGGAGACAAAACAGGAGTCCTGCCCTCATAGAGCTTACACTCTGGGAAATAGACCTTAAGCAACATAACAATGTATTTTCAGAGAGTGAGTTTGTAAAACCAACGTGATGGATAAGAGTGAAGTGTGACTAGGAGGGAGGGCTGTCTTAGAAAGAGTGGTCAGAGAACCGGACTGATGAAGAGAGCAGCCACTGGAGGCAGAGAAATCTCAAGCGCAAAGACTGCGGCGGGAATGAATGTGGGGGGTTAGGAGGACTGCGAGGCGGGCTGGAGCGCGTACGCAAGGGCCCTACATCATCCGGCCTCTGGCCTTCTCTCTGTGTCAGAGGCCAGATGATGCAGGAGCTTTGTAGGTCAAAGACAAGGATGTTAGATCAAAACATGGATTTTGTTCTGGAAGCATTAGGAAGCCATTAGCGGGTTTGGGAGAGGGGGTCTGGGGAGGGAGACGATAGGACTGGAACTGAAGGTTTATATACTGCCGAGCTGCGCCTGAGCCCAAGGTGCCCTATGGTTACGCGAGTTCGCTGAGTGGCGTCAGGTGCAAGAGACGCCTGGGGACGCGCGAAGGGCGAGGCGACGCCTCCACGTCTTCGCGCCTGGCGCTGTGCGTGGCAAGCAGTCGGCCCTCATAATATACGTGCCCCTTTTCCTCTAGCCACCCCGCGGGCCCTGCGGTCGAGCTCTCCGTGCCCTCGCCCAGGCGGGCCCGGAGCGCGGGAGCGGCCGGCGAGCCCGGAGCAGCCAGCCGGGCAGTGGACGCGCTGCGAGGTCAGGGAGGCTGGGAGTGCGGCGGCTGCTGGCAGGGTCCAGACTCACGGACCGCCCATGCGCTGAGGGTGGTGGATACTGAGAGGAGGTGTCCACGCAGGCGAAGCCGTCCGCGAACTTTGTCATAAGTGTCTGAATATCCGGTGGGGGACTACTAGAGAGAAGCGAGGAGGGGTCGCACATCTTTGACTTCTGGATTCTAATGTCTTTTATCTTTGTGTCATTTGCAGACAACTCCGATTTTTAAAGAATCATTGAGATCTAGAGCTTCGACACATTTGGATCTTCAATCGTCGAAGTTTGAATCCATGAACTGCCCCGCCCCACCCCATTCTTCCCTGCTATCTTAGTTCCAATTTATCATAGAGCTTTTTAAAATGCTGTGCTGCTGCTTCCCATGGATCCTTCCTCTAAATTTCCATTTATATTTACGTTTATACATTGTTATAAAAGGTGAAAAACTAACACTGTTTCTGCCTTTTCATTGAGTTGGAGTTTTCGGGAGCGAGTACCCATTCCTGAGAACCCATCTATGCGGGCACTTCCTCTTGCAAGCCTGGTGCCACCGGGCCCTGTTGTTATTACAGCCATTTTGTGAACTTTGGAAAATGAAGCTTAAATAGGTTACGTGGCCTTTCTTGCAGCAAATTGCCAGCAAATGGCAGAGCCAAGGCTCAAATTAAAAAAAAAAAAAAAGAAAAGAAAAAGTGTTCTTTCATTTACAGATTTATTCAGTCAACATTTATTGAGCAACTATTATAACACCCTGCCAGATGTATGGGGTGGGGGTGGGGAGTGGAGACAGACATCAACTGATAAACACCCAAACATATGGCTAGAAATTTTAACGCCAATTTCATTGAGTCGAAGCATCGTTTCTGAGACTCCCCGTTGTTTCATGTACCTCTTAAAAAGAAAACAGCTGCAGTGAGTACACAAAATGGATTATAACACATATCCAGATCTCAGATGATATAATGTTAAAAGCTGGATCTATGAAATGCGGTAACAAGTGATGAACCGAAACTCCAGGGAGATCTCGGATAGACAGACTGTCTCACACCTGCCCTTCCACTGCTTACCCAGCTCCAGGATCCAAGACCCGCAAGGTTTTGCCTATTTTGCCTAAGCTGTCCTATCCAACAGGTGATGAGCCGGCAGAGCGTGGCCTGCAACCATGGAGCCTGGCCCTGCAGCCTGCTGGGGGCCTGCCTGAGCTGGCCCCTCATGCTGGCCCAGCGCTCTGAGACCCGCCAGCAGCGTCTCCAGTGGGCTGTGAAGATGCTGCTGACCGTTACCTAAACCAAAAGTAGCTCCCTCATTCTCTGCCAGAGCAGGGATGCTGCAGAACTTGGTCCAACTTCAGCTGGGGCCAGGAAGCCACCTGCCTCCTCCCAGGTGGGGGTACCATGCCTCCTTATTTACTTTTTGAGGTGCAATTCATGTAACATAAAATTAACTATTTTAAACTGTACAATTCAGTGGCATTGAGTAAACTCACAATATTGTGCAACCATCACCATTTATCTAGTACCAAAACATTTTCATCACTTCCAAAAGACACCCTATATCTGTTAAGCATACTAATTAAATCCTTCTTGTTCTCAGGCCCTGGCAACCACTAAGTGGAATCATACAATATGTTGCCTTTTGTGTCTAGCTTGTTTTACTTAGTATAGCATTTTTGAAGTTCATCCAGGTTGTAGCATGTATCAGTATTTCATTCCTTTTTATGGCTGAATAATACTCCATTGCTTATCTCTTCATCTGGTGATGAACATTTGGGTTGTTTCCATCTTTTGACTATTGAGAATAGTGCTATCAACATTTGTATACAAGCATTTGTTTGAATACTTGTTTTCAATTCTTTTGGGTGTATACTTAGGAACAGAATTGCTAGTCATATAATAATTCTATGTTTAACTTTTTGAGGAATGGCCAAACTCTTTTCCACAGTGGTTGCACCATTAAACATTCCCACCAGCTACATACAAAGGTTTTAGCATCTCCATATCCTCGATAACACTCGTTATTTTCTGGGGCTTTTTTAGAAGTGGTAGCTAACTGTGGGTTTGATTTGCATTTCCTTAATGACTACAGATGTTAAGCATCTTTTCATGTGTTTATTGGCCATTGTATATTTTCTTAGGGGAAATGACTATTCAAGTCCTTTGCCCATTTTTAGATTGAGTTGTTTTTCTTTTTGTTGTTAAAGTTGTAGAGTACTTTGTATATTATGGGTAATAGACCGTTATCACATACATGATTTATAAATATTTTCTCTCATTCTGTGTGCTGTCATTTCACTTTCTTGATAGTGTCCTTTGATGCACAAAAGATTTTAATTTTGGTGAAGTCTAATTAATCTTGTTGTTCTTCTGTTGCTTGTGCTTTTGGTGTCATAGCTAAGAATCCATTGTGAAATCCAAGTTCATAAAGATTTACGTCTATGTTTTCTTCTACGATTTTTATAGTTTTATGTCTTGCACTTAGGTCTTTGATCCATTTGAATTATTTTTTTGCATATTGTGTAAGATAGAGTTCTAACCTTATTCTTTTGCATGTGGATATCCATTTGTCCAGCACACTTTGTTAAAGAGACTATTCTTGAATAGCCTGGGATCCTTGTCAAAAATCAGCTGACTACAGACGTATTGGTTTATTTCTGGACTCTCAATTCTATTCCATTGAGATACATGTCTATCTTTACATCTGTTCCACACTGTTTTGATTACTGGAGCTTTGTAGTATGTTTTGAAATTGGGAAATGTGAGTACTACAACTTCATTCTTCTATTTCAAAATTATTTTGATCTGTTTCAAGCTTGTATCTGGGGTCTGTTATAATTTTATATAAATTTTAGGATCAGGTTTTCCATTTTTAC